CCCCGTTTTTGGTCCCATTCCCCACTCCACCCTCACGGGGGTCTTTTTTTTTAAGATTTATTTATGCACAAGAACTGGGGTACAGGCCAGAGGTGTTGGGGACAGAGCACTCCCCAGAGACAGAGCGGGGAACAGAACAAGCAGGCGGACTGAATACACCGCTGGGGAGCGGCGGTCAGCAGCGGCGGGACGGAACCCCCTCAGCGGCGGCAGTAGCCCCTGCACCTCCCGGGGGGCCTCTCGCTGACTTGTGCCCCCTGGCGGGCGACCTGGGCCAGGCTCAGCAGTTGAGGCGTTTGGGTGGCTGCACGCCCGATATATTGTACCCGCGGGGCTCGAGGGCTCCCTGCGAGCATGTTCGCGTTTTTGAGGCTGGGGAAGGTCAGTCTGCAGCTGCCCAGGCCTCATGGTCCAGCAGGAGCGACGGCCCGGACACCTTCTCTGACCTGTGTGGCTCTGACCTGTTCCGGGAATGACTCCGGGTTTGTTCAGGCAACAGCCAGGGCAGGAGCCCTGTGTCCTCACAGGCTCTCCAGGCACAGAGGGGAGTGGCCCGGCTGAGCCCGTGCTGGCTGCGAGCGACGTAGCGAAGCAACGGCCTGCCTGCACCACAGATGCGGAAAGGCGGCCAGCGGGAGAGGCGGAACCACCACGCATGGAGGAGCCCTTCAGAGCAGCTGGTGGGCACCTGGGGCTGGGCGGGCGCTGGCGGTCTGTCGGGCAGCCCTCCGCCGCACACCCCCGAGGGCCGTTTTTCCAAAGGTGTCAGGAACGGGAAGGAGGTTTGCGAGAGGTCAGGGAGGTCCCGCGTTTCCCCAGAGGACTGGCAGTCTCGGAAGCGTGGCCGGCAGTGGGCATCGTCCTCCCGGTGTCCTGCCCTGACCGCCCGCCCAGAAGCTCTGTGAGGGGCAGCAGAGCTTCTTGCCACAAAGGTGCCCGTTATACTGCCCCCAGGCCCACCACTGCCGCTCCCGCACCAGCCCCTGCCCTGCTGCTGCCAGGACCCTGTGGGTCTCCTGGGCCGGGCCCCTCCCACTGGCCACCTCCAGGAGGATCCGCCCGGTTTTGTGCTCCCACTGACCTCCTGTGGCCCTATCAGGGTCAGGGGTGCGGTCTGCAGGTAGAGGTCACTGGTCACAGCCTGTAGGGAGGAGGAGGTCACCCTCCAGCCGGAGGGCAGTGTCGTGTAGCTCTGCTGTGACACTGCCCCAGAAGTGACTGCAGCCTGCGCTGTCCCTGCAGCGGCCACCCCAGAAGTTACTTTGACGGGCGGCCGCTAGGCTGTCTGGCCTCTGGGGGCCTCTGAGGGCCGGCCAAGCGAGGCCTCAGGTCAGGGTGGGCCCCGCCCCGCCGCTGCTTGTTACAGTTTGCATTAAAAGTGGCCAGTGAGCTGGGAGTTTACAGAAACGCCAGATTTCGAAATCGTCCTCGGGCCCTGGTCCCCCATCCCTCCTGCCCCGTGGGGGCCCCTCGGCAGC